TGGAGCTGGTGGGTTCAAATCCAGCCCAGGCCTGCCAAACGACAACTATAACCAAAAATAGCTGAGTGTTGTGGTGGGCTCCTGTAGTCCAGCTACTTAGGAGGCTGAGGCAAGAGAATCACTTAAGCCCAAGAGTTGGAGGTTGCTGTGAGCAATGATTCCACGGCATGCTATCCAGGGTGACAGTTTGAGGCTCTGTCTCAAAAAAATAAATAAAAAATAAAACCACCAGCATAGACCAGTCCAGCCAGGAACTCTGCTGACACAGAGAGGGCAGGGACAAGAGTGAGCTCTCTCTCTGCGCCTTCAGGCTCCGGGGGACAGTCAGGTCTCCCAAAATGCAACCCAGGACTGAAATCCAAAGTAAAACTATTGTAAGGAAATAAAACAGTGTTTGACACTTGAATGAAAGCTTGGTGGGTTTAGAGAAAGTCAGGTAATAATCCACCCAAACTACCAGGAAAACCAGGAAATGCAAAAAGCTGTAAGTGAAGGGAATAATCTGAGTGGCAGGCAGACCTGGTGCTCAGTGACCCTCATGCCTAAAAGTGCGAAGTCCCTGAAATAGGACATAAGGGACATGTTTACTACAAGTAGGAGATGGACAAATGCCAGGGAAATGCAAAGACATTCCAGGAGATTCTGACAGGTGTTCTTTCTTCTCATTCCTAAAGGGAGGATACTCAATATTATTTTCCCAAGTACAATCAAGAACAGTGGACAGTCAGCGTCGAGGGGCTGCTGTGTCTGAAAGGAGCAGTTCTCTGCAGAAAGAGCCGTCAGATCTTCAGCTGAAGTCCAAGAAGACCTGCGGAAACTCGTGACAGAACTCTGCTTTATTTTCCATCCTCGCCAGCAGGCTTTTCTCGACTGAGGATTTTCTCAGTCGAGAAAAATAAATGAATTTTATTTATTTTTATTCCTGTTTTATGCAGTGATGTTACTTTGAGTTTCCTGCATTTCATTTTGCTGCCAAAACGCCTCCTAAGTCTTCCCAGAGGTTGCTGAGGGGACAGTCACATTTTTATTTATTTTTGATAACTCATCTATGTTCTCTTTTTTTTTTTTGAGACAGACCCTCAAGCTATCCCCCTAGGTAGAGTGCCGTGGCATTACAGCTCACAGCAACCTCCAACTCCTGGGCTCAAGCGAGTCTCCTGCCTCCACCTCCCAAGTAGCTGGGACCACAGGCGCCTGCCACAACGCCCGGCTATTTTTTGGTTGCAGCGTCATTGTTGTTTGGTGGGCCCAGGCTGGATTCAAACCCGCCAGCTCAGGTGTATGTGGCTGGCGCCACTTGAGCCACAGGCACCGAGCCAACTCATCTATGTTCAACATATGTCTTGCATATAATACAAAGAAAAGCATTATTTATTCTGTTTCTTCCTAACTTTTATTCCCTCTGCTCTTCTCTCATCCAGAGCTATTAGTAATTACATAAATATGTAGGAACATTTGTAGAGGTGGTAGTTGTTTGAGGAGTTCCTAAAATGTGTTTGAGATATTTCATATGGCTCAGGTTATGCCTCAGGACAAACGTCCACTTACACCATTACTTCACAAATATTCCAGGCCTAAAGAGCTTTTAATAGTGAAAGAATTACCTGAAATAAGAAAGTTATTTATGCAGTTTATCACCAAAGTAACATTCCTCTGCTTTTGTTTTTACCTACTTTATCTCCTGCAGAAGAAAAATTCAGCAGGAGATGTTTTCTTGACAACAGCCAAGTCTCCACAGCAGGATCCGTGTCCATCTGACGAACACAGCTCCAGCAATGAGCTCTGTGTTTCAGGGCTAATTCTTCACACCACTGTACAAATTTTGCCTGAGATTGACCTGAACGGAAACCTCAGTATGACCTCTGTCCACGTGTGCCCAGCCTCACCCCTCGCAGCCTCCTGAAAGGCAGGCTCCTCATCTTCTCCAGCTCTCAAAGCCATTCTAAAGGCTCACCTTTCTCAAACATCACCTACATTTTAGAAAGTAGTTTCCTTGCTTCAATATGACATTCTAGTTTTTTGATCTATATCCCTCTGAGTAAAGTTACTATTCTGATTAAAAGGATATGGACTTGGGGTCCAACACAGTGGCTCATGCCTATAATCTTAGTACACTCTAGGAGGCCGAAGCAGATGGATTGCCTGAGGTCACAGGCTGGAGACCAGCCTGAGCCAGAGTGAGACGCCGTCTCTAGAAATAGCCAAGTATTGCGGTGGGCGCCTATAGTGCCAGGTATTTGGGAGGCTGCGGCAAGAGAATTGCTTGAGCCCTGGGGTCTGAGGTTGCTGTGAGCTGTGATGCCACAGCACTCTATAGAGGGCAACAAAGTGAGACTCTATCTCAAAAAAAAAAAAAAAAAAAAAAAAAAAAGGATATGGACTGGAACTCTCTATTCCAGAGCCACTTCCTCTACCAACTTGTTGACTTTTAAAATCTCCTCTAGCTCCTTCTTAGAGGATCAGACGTGTATTGAGACACCTCTTAAGATCTGTGGACATTACACTCCACTTGATGAGAGGGAGGGGAGGTGGAAGTCAGGTGGAAAAAGTAAAGGAACCGAGGAGAATGGACATAGTGGAAAACAACTTTTTTTTTTTTGACAGACGTACTGTAATGTTGAGATAACATTCAATAAATGGTTCTTTTTGGTTAAAGGCTGAATAGGATGATACGATTTAAGAGATGAATAATCTGAGATTTTACTCTAAAAATGAACTAATAACATATGTAATTTACTCCTTTTTTTTTTTTTTTTACTAAAAATGGAAGTATGGAAATATTATTAGGAAACAAATCCAAAACCATATTCAGTATTTTAATTTAATTTTCTACTGGACAAATTTACATATCTTCCTCACCCTTTCCTTTAAGTTAGTGTGACAATTCTTCATAATAAACTACTTAAAGAGAAGCTTTGGTCAAGAATGGAATGAAATAGCAAAAAAAAAAAAATCACTGCTGCTTTAAAAAAACCAATACTTTCACCAATTTTATACTCAAACAAAACCACACAATATTTGCACCATATGTGTTTTCAGTGTTCCCTTGGGGCTGGCTTTCCTCACCATCCAATGGCAGAGCTGTGGTCAGCGACTTTTTGTCGTGCTGGATGGCAGACGCTCACTCAGCTTTATATCATCCTGAGGCCCTGGATAGAAGATTCTAAGGTCTGGAAATCCCAAATTGTCATGGCTCCATCAATGCCAGTAGTGCAAAATCTGCAACTATCTTGCTTGTCCACCTCATAAACAGACACGTGAGTGATACTATTCTGGTGCAGCGTCTCCAGGGCTGGACTGCGGTCCTCGATTGTGGCTCTCTTGTCCATGTTGCAGAAACGTTCCATGGCAGACATGTTGTGCTGGATGCTCTGTTTTGGAATGTCTAACTTGGACACAAAGGTCAAGCAGCCACGGTCATCATAGTTAAAGAGCACTGGGCAGCAGTCATGGGCAGCAGTCATGGCCAGCAGCCACAACGCTATTCTCCGAGACAAATGACACACTCAAGAGTGGTAGGAACTCTGTTTTCAGAGCTGAGACCTGGACACTTTTTGAAGCATCAGCGACAGACATGGTGCTGTCATGACTGACCCAGGCCAGGCGGCTCCCACTGGCGGAGAAGCTGACCCCATGGACCCACCCACCTGTGTCACTGCCCCCAAACTGACATCAGTTGACCAAAAGGCATCTTGCTGCCCCAGAGTGTACTGGCTGGCTTTTCATCCACTTCTTTAATATAGGCAGAAAACACTCTGCATTTGAAGTCACATGATCCTGCTGCCAGCAAAACACTGTTGGGACGCCAATCCAAGCTGACGACTGTGGAGCAAATCCACTTTTTAATGTGCTTGCTTACTCACCAGTCATTTTCAGACTCGAAGTAACAGACAGAAATGAGTCATGCTCCACTTCCCACAGCAAATTTGTTCTCTAAGGGGACCACCTCACAAAAGTGGCTGGGCGATTAATTCTCAGGATCACCAGGG